CCGCCTCCTCCTCCGCCTCCTCCTCCGCCTCCTCCTCCGCCTCCTCCTCCTCCTCGGCCTCCTCCTCTTCTTCCCGGGGCAGTGTTCTGGTAATCCCATCACGGTGGGACCAGGCAACACCCGCCTGTAATCCCGGGAGAGGTTTAGGAACTAGGGCGCAGGGTGGGGGTGGGGGAATCATAATAATGATGATGATGATGATAGTGATGATGGGGATGATAATGACTTACCCCTTGTGCTGACAAACACAGACACAGCCAGGTCAATGTGGCAAACCCGACCCCGTCCCTCGGCCACCAGACCCAGCGAACCCCCCCCCACCCTGAGCTGGCCCCGGTCCCCCAAGTGCCGGCTTGGAACCTTCTAGAATGGCAGACGGTGCACAGGGCTCAGTGCAGGCACAGGGCTCGAACCCAGGTCCCGGCCATGTCCCTGGCCCAGCTCCATGGGAACCCCTCCCCCACCCCCCTGGCCAGAGCCCCAACCTGGAGATTGGGACCTACCTGTCAGGCCTTCGCCGCTCTGGCCTCGATCCACAGCCTCCACCTGAACCCCAGCCTTTGCCTCAAACACCAGCCGTGACCCTGGGCCTAGACCCTCGGCCTCAATCTACAGCCTCCACCAGGACCCTGGCCCTCTGACCTCCACCTCAGCTCTGCTGCCTGCCCTGCCACACCCTCCTTTAATACCCTCCGCCCAGGCCCACTTCCGGCCCACCCACCCTGCCAGGCCTCAAGCGGCACGGGCCGACCTTCCAGACACAGGGCCCACGTCTGTCTGTCTGCCTATCTGTATCTTTCTGTCTTGGTCTATCGTCTATCTCCGTCTGTCTGTGTCAGTCATGGGGCTTGAACTCTGGGCCTGGGTGCTGTCCCTGAGCTCTTCAGCTCAAGGCTAGCACTCTAACACTTGTGCCACAGCACCCACAACTTGCAGTTTTCTGAGTGGTTTATTGGAGATGAGAGAGTCTTATGGACTTTCCTGCCCAGGCTGGCTTTGAACTGTGATCCTCAGATCTCAGCCTCCTGAGTAGCTAGTATTACAGGCGTGAGCCACTGGCGCCCAGCAAGCTTAGGCCATTTGTATCTGAGCTTCTTGGCCCTTTGACTTTGTGTGTGTGTGTGTGTGTGTGTGTATAAATATGGTGTGCATGTAGGTGTGTGCCAGTCTTGGGGCTTGAACTCAGGGCCTGGGCACTGTCCCTGAGCTTTTTCTCTCAAAGCTGGCTCTACTACTTGAGCCACAGCACCACTTCCAGCTTTTTCGGTGGTTCACTGCAGGTAAGAGTCTCACAGACTTTCCTTCTCAGGCTGGCTTCAAACTGCTATCCTCAGACCTCAGCCTCCTGAGTAGTTGGGACTATAGGCATGAGCCACCAGGGTCTGGCTTCTAGGGATCTCGGGTGCATCTTCCCCCTGAACCACCCCACAAAGCCACAAGTCTGCAAGACACCTCAGCTTCATGGAGGGAAGCATTCGTGCAGGATGGAGGGAGGTTCGGGCAGAGCCCAGGAAGGAAGCAAGACCTGATCTAAATATCTGTTCTGCCTGGCCCTGAGTTCAAATCCAGCATGGCAAGAATGAGAATTCTCAGCCCCCCCCCCGGGGGGGGAGAGGGGAGGGGGACATGCAGGGTGCCACGGGGGCGCTGTTTCTCCATCAGGGAGCAAGCATTGAGTCTGGAGGAGGCTAGCATGTAACCCCTGACCTTCACCACAGATGCTGCCATGGGAACCTGACTCTAGTGGGTAAGCGGCTGGACGCCTTTGAGAACTGACAAGCCAGACTCTGTCCTCCGTGCAGCTGGTGGAGGTGTGGGGCCCTTGTGAGGATGAGGAGCCACTCGTGCAAATTGGTCAGCCAAGCTCTGGGGCTGCACAGGAGGACTGGGGGTGAGGATGTGTGCCCCACACAGAGGAGAAAGGATTTAAAGGTGGGGTGAGCGATGGCCTTGGGGCCTGGGGTTGAGCCCAGCTGCCGGTGCATGCTGAAACTTCCTCCAGGCTCCCGGGGGCGAACGCCAGCACCCATCAGTTTCATAGAAAAAGGCACAGAGAGATCTCTCATCTGGCCAAGGGCCCCAGGCTGGGCAGCCGAGTAGCAACAAGGCTTTTCTGACTGGTTCTGTGCCAGTCCTGGGGGCTTGAACTCAAGGTCCGGCTGCTGTCCTTGGGCTTTTTCATTTGAGGTTGAGGCTCCACCACCTACTTCTGGCCTTTTGTTAGCTCCTTGGAGATGAAGAGTCTCACAGACTTTCCTGCTGGGGCTGGCTTTGAACTGTGATCCTCAGATCTCAGCCTCCTGAGCAGCTGGGACCACAGGCATGAGACACCATGCTAGAGAAGGCTTACAGCTGACCTGTTGTCCTTCTGCCAGCTCCTGGCCCTGGGTATGCCCTCCATCTCTCTCGTCCCAGGGCCCCATCTCTCCCTCCCCACCCCCTCCTCTCCAAGGCCACAGGCTGAGCACTGTGGAGCCTGTCACCAGAGATGGAGAATAGAGAATGTGAGGTCCTTCAAAACCATCTTCAAATCTGGGGGTACCCCATACCCTGCATGAGCCTCAGAGGAGGCTCCATAACCTTATGTGAGGAGGCCCCAACAGCAGGGCCACCTGCTGTGCTCCTGGGACTTGAACTCAGGCCTGCTGGCAGCCTGGTGTCCCATGATTTGGGTGGTGCCCTCAGCTCGGTGGCAGCTTGAGGGGTTTTGTTCTGCTGTGGCTGTCCCCCAAGCATGGTCCCCTCCACCTCCTGCCCAGTAGCCAGGACACAGATGGCACCCAGGGACGTGCTTGCTGCTGGAGACGGCTTCTTGCCTCCACCTTTCCGGTGGCTGGGATGTGAGCCATTGTCTGGCCAAGGCTTTGTAGCTGAGGATGGGGTCACACCTTGATCAGCTAACCCCCCCTTCTCAGAATGGACACTGTGTGGGATTCCCAGAGGAAACCTGGGTCGGTGTTCCTCAGAAGAGAAATGCAAAGACGGGCACTGGTGGCTCATACCTATAAACCTACTCAGGAGGCTGAGATCTGTGGTCCAAGTTCAAAGCCAGCCCAGGTAGGAAAGTCTGTGAGATTCTTTTTTTTTTTTTGGGTCCGGTCATGGGGCCTGAACTCTGGGCCTGCCCGCTGTCCCTCAGCTCTTCAGCTCAAGGCTAGCACTCTACCACTTAAGCCACAGCGCCACTTCCGGCTTTTTTTTCTTTTTGCTTATGTGGTGTGAAGGACTTGAACCTCATGCATGCAAGACAAGTACTCTAACACTGAGTCACCTTCCCAGCCCCAAGTCTGTGAGATTCTTATCTCCAACAAACCACCAGAAAACTGAGGTGGCGCTGTGGCTCAGGGAGTAGAGTGTCTGTGTTGAGCTGAAGAGCTGAGGGGCAGGGCCAGGCTCTGGGCTCAAGGCTTACAAAATGAGAGGGGGGGGGGAGAGAGGGGAGAGAGAGGGAGAGAGAGAAACTCAGCTGAGTGGCCAGGATGGCAGTGTGACCCGAGTGCAGGCCTGTGATATGGCTGCAGCTGTGATCCCAGGGCCGGTGACTGTGGGGTCACTGAGGAAGCGCAGGGCCGCTAAGGCTGTTAGAGGGGACTCAAGGTGCTCATCGGGTCCCCTTCATCCTCCAGGGAACCCCGGCCCCACCCACGCCTCTGTGAGTACCCGGTGGGCAGGTGCCTACCACATGGCCTTCTGCACCCATATACACGCCATGTGCACATTCACACAGGCCTGTACACAAATGCACCGCAGTCCCACGCCCATATGCACACACATGCACACTCCATCACGCCCATATGCATGTATATGCCCTTATGTCGTCACATGCCCCTATACACGCATGTGTGCCTGCAGGCACATGCCCCTATATATGCATGCACAGGCACACGCCACATACACGCATGCGCAATCACGCTCCCACGTGTGCGCATGCGCACATGCAACCACACGCCCATATGTACGCAAGCGCCCATATAGTCTCATGCCCCCTATGCACGCAGGCACACAGCACACATGCGGTTACACACCCATATGCACGGGAAGTGCCCGTGTAGTCACATGCCCCCTTAGCAGGCAGGCGCACCTGCAGGCACCAGCCCGAATGCACGTTTGTGCCCACGTAGTCACATGCTCCCTATGCACGCATGCGCAATGCACAGATGCAGTCACGCCTTTTACAGGCCTGCGAACCTACAGGCCCACGCCCATATGCACGCATGCGCACAGGCAGCCTGGCGCGCAGTCCTGTAGCCTCAGGACTTGCTGTGGTATGGCGCCTGCCTGTGCCGGGAAGGCCGGTCCAGGACCCCAGACGCAGGCCCACACCGCCCTCCCCTCCTGGGGCCAGGCGTGGCCTAGCAGAGCTGGCCGGAACCACGGATGCTGCTGCCTCCCGGTGGCCGCGGGTGAGTGCGGGGCGCGGGGCGGCAGCCTCCGAGCGGGGCTCAGGACAACCATGACCACGGCCGTGTGCTTGTGGTGGTAGCCACTTTATTACGGTCGGTGCCGGAGAGCCGGGGAGCCTGGGGGCAGGGCCGGGCACGCGCCGGACTAGCCCAGCGGCCAGGGTGGGAAGGCGCCGCCGCCCTCGG